GAGGGAGAAGGAAATGCAAATGAATGAAAACAAGAAAAAAAAAAAATTCTGATTTACTCGATTGCTTTGCCCTGTTGACCTTACGGCACTTGAAATATTGCTTTTTTCCCCTGTATTATAGTTATTGCTGTGCCAAACAAGATAGTCTTCTCAGTCAGACCATTGCTGACTTTCTCTCTCTCTTAGAAAATTCCGCAAATCGACTTGCCTTGAAAGGAGGGGGTGGTGAATCCCCCGATCCCGGCCCATCCAATAGTACAACGCAGCTTGCCTTGTCACGATCATCGCTGAGGGAGCCGCTATTTGTGGTGCCAGCAGGCTTCCATCCCAATGCCACTTTCATTGGCATGACCAGAGAGCTGGATATCTTACACGCCCGGTTATACAGAGCTAAGAAGCGGGCTGAGCGCCTTGCAGCCGTCTTGATATGCGGGGGCCCTGGAGCCGGAAAGTCTCATCTGGCAAGACAATACGTGTGGACCCAGCGCGACTGCTACCCCGGCGGCATATTCTGGGTAGATGCGAAATCACGAGAGTCAACTAGCAAGTGCTTCTGGGACATCGCGCAGGCTGCGAGTTTAACGGACGAGCTTGAATTCGAGAGCCCGGACTTCAAAGCACCGCAGAAGTACGTAGAGGTGGTCCGCAACTGGTTCCAAGCTCGAGAGGAGTGGCTTCTCGTCTTCGATGGTCTCAGCTTTAATCAGGAAGACGACCTTAACCATTTCAGACAGTTTTTGCCTTTCAACAGACAATGCAGCATTATCTACACCTCGGTGGACCGAACACTGCGGAAGAAACAGCGCCTGTACGAGCCTTATTGCCTTCAAGTGCCCCCTCTGTCGGTCGAGGATGCGTGCAAGCTCTTGTTCAAGGATTTGGGAATCAAGAGACCCACCAAAGAGCAGGTCCGCAAGGCAACTGAACTGGTCATGCACTATGAGTGTCTGCCCCTGGCCATCCATGCGATCAGTCACCGCCTCAGTGCAACATCCAAGCCCATTGAAAGGTATCATATCAACTCGCATCTGACGGATGAAAAGCTTGCGGAGCCCTTCCTCAGTATCATGCACGACCTCTACCGGATGGGGCATTTTGAGGCCCTGAACCTGATCAATCTCCTCTCTTTCTTCGGACACCATGTGCCGCTTGGGCTCATCAACTTGGGCAAATCAGTTCTGGAGACCTGGAATGTCGAAATTCTCACAAGCAGTAGGCCCGGGGAGCGCGGGGATATCGACACTACTTTAGGAATATTAATTCGGTACGGTCTCATCGAGAGGACCTCTGATGCTTACGTTCTAAAGGATATCTCCCCTCAATCCGAGAAGGAACTGATATTCGACCCCAGAGCCGTGGTGCCCGAACTATCCGAATCGCAAACGGAGAGCAGTAGCCAGGAGGCCAGCTTCTCCGTCTATCAACATGCGGGCTCGATCGATGTCATTAAGATCCATAGCGTGGTTCAGGGATTCTGCCGCGACGAATTGAAAATCATGGATGAAGAGCAAAGGAAGCAGTCATCGAGGCTAGAGGCTCGACGAGGGTCCGGGGCTGGATCAGTCCATGAATCAGGGTCAGGCTCTGGAGTCGTCAAAGCCGAGGCCGGCTTCTACGAATCATGGCTCGTCGTGGCCATTCGCCTTCTCTGCAAGTCGTACGAGAACGCGAAAAAGCGCATGGAAGTGGTCGACGATTACGGCTTGGTGAAGGATTACCGAGAATATGAAACTCATGCATCCCGGTTGATCGAGAACTTCCCGAAACGGGCCTCGAAAGAGAAAATCGTTCAAGAGGCGCGTAACGAATTAAAGCAGCTCATGAGGAGCATCTCCAGCGAAATTGAACGCTTGTCGCCGCATTCTTCGCAAGACTCCATTCGCAAACACCGGTCCGTGTTTGATAGATCCAGCAGCTCTTCATCGTCCGTGCCGGATTCTGACGAGAGCCCGTCGAGGCAACTAACATGGGATCTCGGGGATGAATCGGCAAAAGTTGAGTCACCGAAGGAGCTGCCCGCTACGGCGCACCGTTTCAACCTGAGCCCCTTTCTCCCTCATATTTTTCGCGAATCGAGTAGCGAGCAGGAGGCCGAGAGAGCCAATCGGGACAAGATGGAAGCGTCTTCGCTCTCGCAGATGAGCCAGGCTACGGAAAAGCCATTGATTGCTTCAAGCCCGCCACGGGACGATCAAGGGTGGCAGGTGGTAGAGAAGCCGCAGAAACCTAAGCCTGGGAAGGAGAGACAGCCGAAACAGCGCCCAAAGTTTCCAACCCACATACATGGCTCCAAACCGGCAGCTCCTGTGCTCAAGATATTCCCTGTTGAAGGGAGGAGCGCGTCAAGCAGTAGCATGGAGAAAGGCCGCAGTAGTTCTTCCGTCTCTGCCACGGAAGCACTGACATCAGTGCAGAGTGCCAGCCCTCGCCGATCCGAGGAAGATCTGCCTGCTGGTCAGGCAAACCGAACTTGGGCTGCCGTGGTCGCCAAAGCCAAGCGCGCCGCAGAGGCACGAGGAGCTCCTTCGTTATCGCCGAAACAGCGGCCCTCGTCGTCACCTGGGGAGGCGAAGGGCCTGAATTCACCCGTCCCAAAGCCGTTGGAAAGCAAATCTTCGGGTGAAACGCTGGGAACCGATATGACACAGCTACGCTTCCAGGAAGACCGATTGAGCCGATCCACGCACAGTGAGCCAGGCCCAGAACTACTCACACAGCAGCTGCACGCACTGGACCTGGGAACTGCACCGGATTCACGCTACCACTACCGTCAATTATCCACGTCAATGACAGCGGCACCGTTAAAGGACATGTCGGCCAGTACGCCGTCGATTTTGGCGTTTCCGCCACAGCCGCTCCCGTACGAGAATGACATCGAAATCACGGTTTCACGACGCTTGAATGCGAGCAACATGCCGCCACCGCCGCCTGTCAGTCAGTCGGCCGCCACTTTCGGCCCAATCGCCCCCTTCCAAGCCACGCACCATTCAATCACACACCCATCTGCCATCATGCCGGGTGCCTCACCGCCAGTTTCGATCATCACTGATGGAATCGGAAACACTGGTTACACATCCGACCCACCTCCCGCTTTGGAGCCATTGTCACGAGGGCCTTCGGGACAGTCTTACCAGTCCTGGTCACCGGAACAAGAGCCAGAGCCCATGCGCCTTCCGCCTCGGCTCGTCCCCTTGCCCTCCAACTCGGTGGTGTACATGCCCCAACAACAGACGCTCTCTGGAGCTGGCGGCTGGATCAGTGATGCGCAGCAACCAGCAAGCCTGGGAAGTGTCGGCTCACCCGAAGATCTAGGGATTCTGCACTTCGGGGCCCATCGAGTCGATGTGCGGGACGCTCGGCAGAGGCTCGAAGTGGGTGGGCGCTATCAGGTCTCCGGCGCCGCGTGGCAATTATATCACTCAAATAGATCGGGACCTCTCATCCGTCAGAGTCAGGATGCGTTGACCGGTGCAGCCACACAGGGAACATACGTTCGACGACCCCGAAGTGGCAGCTCCCCAGTTCACCCTGAGTAAAAGATTAATTTTTAATTTGTCAGTCACTGGGATGATGAGAAATGAGGTGAGAAGGAGAAGCAGGAGAAAAAGAAAAGAAAGAAAGCATCAGGCAGGTACTGATGCAAAATGCATATGAGCACAGGTTGGAGTTATGCACCGTCAGCATTCACTTTCATATTAGCATTGTCATTCAAAATTTTGATCACTTTGATCAATGTTCATGCATATAAGACGGGAGATAGAGCGGCATAGTGAACAGGCGTTTATTGTTCCCTTGGGCTCCTATACCTGCTTTCCTTTTTCGATGTTTGGCATATCCTTGTGATGGACGAGACTTCGAGCATCTCACGGTAATAGTCATAGTGAGAGAATAAATGGACACCTTGGTTAACATGAGTCCAAGGGTTGATGTTATTACGACTTTCAAGGGCAAAGCCCAACGCTGGTCAAAAGACCAGAAAAGAAACCTTTGGCCTGAAAATAAGCCATTTCCTGCCTAAGATGATTCTATCCTAGAAGCTATGGATCCCAATGCTAGGCAGTGCAAGACTAACACTCACTGAGCATCAAGAGCCTGCACTGTTCCTGGCCAGACACACCGTCCTGTCTTAGCCGATAAAAAGGGCTGATAGATTGGCATAGTACATGGTACGATTTCCATTCGGAGCCACACGCAGACATGTCATCAGACAGCGAGGGCTATGCTTCCATCTCACCTGCCAACTCCGACTTGAGGAATGATTGTTTGAAAGCAATTGACTGACTCTTTCATGGTCTGAGTTGTCGAAATTGTTCCGCAATGGGCAGTGGGTATACCCAGCGACAACACTTCTCCCTTGAGTTCGAAAAGATCTACGAATCTATGCAGTTTAAGATACTTCCATTTGAGGAAGTTAGGTCAGCTCCTCAAACGTCTCCTCCATTTGACCAGGACGGTATGCCTCATGCGGCACTGGTCCAACATGTCATAGCTGTACATATCGGGTCCATGTCATAGGCACTCGAAAGATTTCACTGATCAATGTGAGTAGGAGGCTTAATCGATGCACTCTGCTTAACACTCAGAAGTCCATCATGGCATAAAGCAATCAATTTCTGGCCCGAGCTTTGTGTCACCCTCAGTGTTGAACAATGTGCTGCATTGCAGTGTACGTTCTGGACTCTCTGGCGCGTTGTACAAGGCAGCGGTGAGAAAGAAAAGACAATGAGCAATTATTGCGCTTATAACCAGCGTTTTATGCGCTTATCTTCAAATGAGTCTGCATTGAAGGGCTGTGGAATGAAGCATCCTTAGAAGGTCGTATGAATGGGTACGCTCTTGATATCCCTTACTTCATATTTCATACCAACTCCGGACTGTGGCCTTCATTCCACTACCAGGCTGATACTACCAGGGTGATAAAAAATTCATATAATGCGATGACATACCCGGCTTGCACAGCAGGCTTCAATATCTTCGAGAGTTTGGAACACGGTTGCAAGATGGCCAGTTCCAAGACGAAAAGTTCAAGCATCGTGGCGGCCGACGATGCCTTGCCCCAAGCACCACGCCAGCAAAGGGAGCTCCCACGGCAATTCTCTGCAACATCAGCTCTGTCGTTTGCTTATATTGTCACAAACTCCTGGGTTGGTTATTCGGGGACCTTCGCCACTGCGTTGCTGGCCGGTGGAGGGCCAGCCGTTTTTTACGGTGTTATAGTGGCCGCGGTCGTGTGCACTATCATCAGTACGCCTAACGTTTCTCAATTGCTTGTAGTACGCTGATTCGATATGCTATCTCAGCCCTGGGTCTTGCCGAGTTGGCATCTGCGTTTCCGTCGAGCGGAGGACAATACCATTTCACGTTTATGGTCTCGTCACCAAAGACTCGGACGCCCTGTGCTTTTGTATGTGGCTGGCTCAGCTGTCTTTCCTGGTGTCTGGCCACCGTGTCTGGCACCATTTTTACCGGTATGTCATGAGTTTCTGTGAGACTTTTGAGTAGGCTCAACTTACGATGAAAAGCTCAAGCGATTCTTGCGCTCGTCTCGTTCCTGAAAGAGGACTATCAGCCCAGGCAGTGGCCGACGTACCTAGTCTTTCTTGCTCTTATTGCACTGGCGACGGGAATGGTTTGTCTCCTCGCGCACTGGTTGCCGCGACTGCAGGAGGTCATGTTCTGGAGCAGCATATCTGCCTTTGTCGTGTGTCTCGCCGCGGTTCTCGGAATGAGCAAAAGCAAGCAACCTGCCCGCGTTGTTTTCACCCAGTACGAGAATGAGACGGGATGGCCCGACGGCTTGTCGTTCCTCATAGGACTCGGGACCTGCATGTACATGTTCTGCGCTACCGACGCAGCGACACATATTGCCGAGGCATGGCTCATGAATTCAGATGTCCGCACTTCGAGTGACTGACTATTCGCAGGAGGTCCCGGATCCAGGCCGGACTATTCCCAAGGTGATGTGGCTAACGCCCGTGATTGGGATTGCCACGACGGTGCCGTTTGTTGTGGCCACCTTATTCGCGACAATCGACCTAGACGAGATCGTCCGGTCCGAACTGCCTATCCTGACGCTGTATCATCAAGCGACGGGTAGCAAAGACGTAGCCGCCATCTTCACCGTCTGGCTTATTTTCAATTACTTTGGAGGTACGCTCGCCGGGCTCGCGACATCCGGCCGCATGGCTTGGGCTTTTGCCCGGGACAACGGGCTGCCCTTTTCCAGAACGTTAGCCACAGTGCATCCGCGATTCCAAACGCCCGTCGCCTCGACAGTTGCCTGTGCCGCGCTGATGGCACTGTACGGCCTTATCTACATTGCATCCAGCACGGCATACAGCAGCATCGTCTCGATGGCGATCCTGTCCATGAACGTGACGTATGTGATTCCGCAGGGCATCCTGCTCTTCCGAGGACGGGAGAAAATCCTTGTCGACCGCTACTTTGATTTAGGGCGGTATGGAGTCTTTGTCAATGCGTTCTCGTGTCTGTGGGTTGGGCTGTATACAGTCATCTTCTGTTTCCCGACGATCATGCCGCCCACGCCGTCCAATATGAACTATCTGGCTCCTGTTGTTGTCGCAATCGTCGTCTTGATTCTTGCGGTATGGTACGGTGGGAAGAAGAAGACGTTTTCTGGGCCGGTGAGTATGCAGCATAAGTAAGGCAGGCTGTAGTTTAGTTAGAAATGCACCATAAGGCCATATGGCTGGGCCCAGTCCGGGGCAACCTTGGACAGTAGACCCGTCCACCCATCCTTTCAGACTCTTTTCTCGGGCTACAATCATACAATCACCGCGTACCTCTCTAAATCAGGCGCCAAAACCTTGGCTTTGATTCGTCCGTATTGTCCCGCCTGAATCCTGAGGCTGCTAGCAGCTGGCAGCCTAATCACCACGCGACTGAAGCCTCAGTTGTGGTGATTGACAGGAGAACTTCCCAAGTGTTGTATACAAGATCAGCAAGCTCATCTCATCTATCCTCTCAGTTGCAATGGCCTCTGCGCAGTCGCGTTTCGAATTACCGGGTTTCTCCTTGCCCCTGAACTCCACCATGGGGCGTGTCAAGTTCCCGAATGAGCTGGATGACTCCTACATCTTACCGTAAGCTGATTGTGGTTCCAAAATTGAGGGCAACCTGACAGGAACAGCCGTTTGACTACGCATCGAGAAATATTGATGATGCGAGCAATGAATTCCATCACTGATAAGCTGGACTGGGACAAGAAGGCATGTAATGTAGTCCATGGTATGAACACACTTATACTGACTTGCTTAGGTATTCAATGATGAGATCACTGCCAAATGGCGCAAAGAAATTCAGGATAGTGGAGAAGATGTCAGTGAGCAAATGTTAGAGTGGATCATCAAAGAAGCACAGTGGAAATCCAAGGTCTTCCAAGACACTAAGCATATTGTCGCATTTGACATAGGTGTGGTCAAATCAGATGTTGCCATACCGGAAGAATTACAACAGGCTCTTAAAGCGGCTGTCCATCCACTTGAGGCTGAGGGGCAGAAGGACTATCATCCTGGAATAGATAATATGGTGGTTGACCTAGTTGACCCATCATTATTCCCTGTGGTATATGGTCGAACGCGCATCCTGCCAGATCGACTCATCAGTCTAGAAGCTTTTGCGAACCATATTGGGGAAGGCAAAATACTCCATGTCCGCCCAGAAGAGGAGTCTTTTACAGCGCTACATGACTGGGCTTTGTACAGGTGCAGGAGGCACCCCATTCGACCCTACAGCCTCAGGTTTCAATGGCTACCCTGTGACATTCACTTTGGACCAGATGGTGAATGTCAGATTGCATCATATATTAACAATCTACATCCCCGGCAACACCGAGTGCTGTACAGAGTCATTGAAAAGATTCTAACTAGAATCATCCCTATGTGGAACAAAACTTTGACTCTCATGCAGAATGAATATGAACGCATTAAATACTATGCAGTGGAGTATGATGAACATCCAGAACCTGAGCCAGAGCCAGAGCCGGCAGATGAAGATGAAGAGAATAGTGATGTATACTGGGAGAGACACCGGGCATGGCAAAGACGACAGCCCATTAAACTACCAGAACCGGGATGCTTCGTCCCAGACACTGTTATTGCATGCAACCAGGTCAATCTCCGCCAGGAATTTGCTGAGCGAGGGCTCCAGGTTATTGTTAAGCTGGCGAACATCGAGCTAACACCAGAGAAGCCTGAGTATGAAGGGGATTCCTGGCATATTAAAGGGCAACTGGTGAGTCTATCAGTATGGTTGATTGATTAATGAGCCTCATCCTAAATAACGAATAGAATGAGCATATCTGTGCTACAGCCATCTACTACTATGATAGTGAGAATATCACAGAGAACACTCTTGCATTCCGTCAACGGGCAAGCAGAAGTAAGGTTGAGGATATTGAATATGAACCATCCCGGCATGAATTTCTTCAACAGGTCTTTGGCTTTGGGCCTGATGTGGATGGTTCTAATGAAACCAACGTCACACAGCTGCTGGGTAGTATTAAGACCTGCCAGGGACGTCTTCTTACCTTTCCTAATATCCTCCAACATCGTGTGGCGCCTTTTTCGCTGGCAGACCAGTCTAAACCAGGCCATCGCAAGATCCTTGCATTTTTCCTTGTGGATCCGCATCTGCCTATCATTTCATCAGCGAATGTGCCACCTCAGCAAGAGGACTGGTGGAGAGAACGACAGGAGCTTGTTAGCTGTTTGCTTAGGGAAAGACTGCCTGCCGAACTGCAGGGCATGGTGATGGAGTCATTCGATGCTTCCCCCATCACAATGGAGGAGGCTAAGCAGTACCGAAAGGAGCTGATGGAGGAGCGTTCGTCCAAGTCGGCGGTGCAGAACGAGAGGTTCGAGGTGGGCAACTTTGCCTTATCATAAAGGTCTAACTCCATATCTATAGCTTGGCAAGTTTTGAGTGCCGCAGTGGAGCTCCGCGGTTTAGCGGTGATAATGTGCCGGATTTCTTGCGAGTCATGGACAACCTCTTTCGCAGATATCTTATCTCTGAGAAGCAGTTGCTGAAAGAAGAGTATGCAAGATCTGATAAAGCACAGAAGATCTTCAATCTTCATTAGTATCAAACGGAAGGAAACGGAGGTGGGCAGCTTTGTCCGTCAATTCCATTTGGTGTCAGAAAGATTGCAGAAGGACGACTTACTGACATGGTCTTCAGTGTCGTGATTGCAGAGGCCCTGGCCCAGGAGTCAAGCCTTGCAATCGTGGCGAAGCGAGAGTCTTCACCTTCGATGACCTACCGGGCAGTGTCCAGTCACAAATGCTCTCCTTAAGTTAAGCAGCAAATATAGAACCTAGCAGGATCCATAGCCTGTTTACCATTACAGCAGATAAATGCTATCTCGTAGATATCTTATCTACCTCCCCCGAAAAGCAGGCTTCCTCTTCTCTGCAAAAGCTCTAAGCGCCTCATACCGATCCTCCGTCTCAATCACCCCATTATACGCCTCATTCTCCGCCGCCTCGCCCCGCTGATACCCCCCAACCGCCTGAATCGCCTGCCTGATCGCAATCGGGCCCCCCTCACAAATATCCAGCGCCAGCTTAATACTCTCCCTCAGCACCTTCTCCCTCGCAACCCCCTCCTTCCCCTCCTCCTCGGGCAAAATCTCCACAAGCCGATCACAAAGACCCAGGAAGTACGCCTCGGGGCCCGACACCCTCCGTCCCGTGAGAATCATGTCCCGCGCGCGGTTCACCCCAATCAGCGCAGGGAGACGGTACGTGCCGCCCGCGCCGGGGATAATCGCCAGCCGGGTCTCGGGTAAGCCGACGATAGCAGACGAGCCGAAGACGCGCAGGTGCGTGCACAGCGCGAGCTCGAGGCCGCCGCCCAGCGCTGTGGAGGAGATGGCGGAGATGGTGGGGATCTGGAGCGCGGCGAGGTCGTGGAATGTGCCGCGGAGTTTGGTGAGGAATTCGTTTGTCCTGGACCCCAGGTCAACTAGATCCTAGTAATGCAGGTGGTGGTGGTGGTACTTACTCCTCCTTTGTCATCTTCGCGCGCTCTTTGAGGTCCGCGCCGGCGCAGAAGGCGGCGTCGGCGTTGCTGGCGATGATCAGGGCGCGGGTTGGGCCTGTGCCGCCTTCGGCGGCGATGGAGTGGATTTGCTTGGAGAGGGCGTCGAGAAGGGTCCGTGAGAGGGCGTTACGGGCTTTGGGGCGGTTTAGCAGGAGGACGCGGACGCTGCCGGAGCCCGGCGCGGGGACTTGTTGGGTTTGGATGACGGCGTCGTCGGTGCTGGTGCTGTAGCGGGAGATGGTGACGCGGAGCGAGACGATGCGAGGGGAGCTCGAGAGAGCGGGTGCGAGGCGTGGGAGTCGGGGCGGCATTTCAATATCGATTGGAGTTTAGAATACAGAGCTTGAGAATACAGAGCTTGAGAATACAGAGCTTGAGAATACAGAGCTTGAAGCAGGTAAGATTGAGCACAGTCGGAAATGAAATAAAGAATTAAGAAGATGGATGTTGAAGCTCTTCGGTCGTTCTCCAACTCGCGGGGAAAGCTTTACACCCGCTGTGGGGAACCGAAGAATGCCGCGGATAAGCGGATGATCATTTTCGAATGTAGACGACAAGCGAAAGGGTATCTATCGTGATTGATTGCCACTAAATGAATATATATACAGAATCTAATGTACAGACTTGCTAAGGTTCCCAGTGTAAATACTCCCAGACTTCATCATCGCTTGGCCAGGAACCCCACAGCGGAGTCGCCGCGACAATCTCATATGCCTCTTGCACCTTCAAATCGGACACGCTCGCGTCTGAATCCGAGACATCGTTGGAAAGAGATTCACCCCCGGCCATTGACTCCGACGGCAAATTGTCAGATGAACCCCAAGGTCGTTTCCCTCCGTATCCTTCGAGAAACACCCGGAGTGCAACCAGAGTACGCCGCATCATGCGATCGCCGTTCATATGCTCATCAGACGCCTCTTTGAGGGTGGTGGCATTCTGGCTCATCCATCGAAGCAATTTCAACAGGCCGTCATGATCCCCAGCCAGCCCTAGCGCTCTGACGAATGCGTGTAGAACGGCTGGAGAAGGCACGTGAAGCATAGGAGGAACAGCCACCGGCGGACTTGTGGCACTCTCGAAACTGCCTGCCGAACGCTCACCGAAAGGGGCATTTCTCGGATCCGAAAGGACAAGCTGGTCAAAGTTTTCCTTGAGAATGGCCAGTCCACTCCGAACCATGTCCTCAAAATGGGGACGCAGTACCTTGGAGTGTTTGGTGCTCCCTCGCCGTGCTGCTTCATGAACAATTGCCAGGCCCTCTTCTGCGGCATTTGGATGTTTCAAACCTGCCATCACAGCCTTTGAGAAGCTGGCGCAAAGGACCTGATGCCCCTGCAGACCAGGCTCGATTGCACGTTCTTTCATCCAACCGATGACCTCGACCATCTCATACCAGGCAAGCACACGTTGTGCACTGCGGCTCATCCTGCGATATGGCGTTCTGATGCGATCCTTGCTCAGCGCTGTCAAGAGATGAATCCACGGAGGGGTGAAACGGGAGTTTCGAAGTTTCAACAGCTGAATCGCATGCGACAAGGTTTTCGGATGCTGCAAGGTACTGCTTGCTCCTGAGACATGAACAGTGGAAAACAGCGTGGAGGTTTTCGGCTTGTTCGGATGAATATTACTCATGATAATGGGAAAGAGATCGGCCGTGCGAATATCATGCCGTTCCAGGTGCAAGGAGTCAAGACTCGAAAAGTTGCAAAGAAAGCCTATGAAAGACGAAAAGAGATAGTCCGGCAGTTCATCCAAACCCTTTGAATCCAACGCATCATAATCCGACGTACGTTCCCACACAGTGCACAAAGCTTGGATTTGTTCGTTCGACAAGTCACTGCAACTGAGATAATCCAATCCGCAATTGAATGTTGGCGCAGATCGCAGAAGCAAAGCCAAAAATCTTCCGGATGGACGAATACCCTGGGAAAGCATCTGTTTGAGAAGCTCTTCCAGGGTAGGAGGCTCCGTGTGTACGTAAATCAAATCGCGGGCGGAAGCAGGTTCCGCGAAGACTTCCAGGCCATCGCCTGGTAAAGAATGGCTGACATGGTCGAAGTCCTTCTCCAGCGCTTTTCTCCGGAAAATCAATTTCTCAGCCATGGCGACATAGATACTCGCTCGCGGCGGTAGGCCTTGATCTTGATATGACAGAAAACAAGCCCAGGCCTCCCGCACCGTGCGCGTGGCGCGGATTCGGGCCACCCAGACTGCATGATGATCCGGCTTGCTTCCAGCAGGCCCACGTAGCAGTTGCGGTCGACGCATCAAGGCCCTAGTTTGAACCGTCGGGCTTTTGTCCGTGTCCCAGCCTGCCAATATCCCAGAAACCTCTTCCCAGCGACTGTGAGAGTAGCCTGCCTCTCTCATTTGAGCCATCACGCGCATGGCGCGACTCTTCATTCCTTCGTTCCCTCGTTGGGAGTCGATTCCAAGCTTTTCTTCCTTCCACGGTGGCCACGATGGTGACTTTAGTTCTGCCGACTGCCGTTCGGCGGACGTCTTCTTGTGGGCCAATTGCACAGCAATGATACCTTGATAGCCCTGCCGCGTCACCGGAAGGACCGGATTGTGTCCTGCCATAGCCTTGAGGAGTTCGAATTGAGCTTGTTGCTGTACCGAAACGAATTTGAAAGGGCCTGCTTTGCAAGGTAACGAGAGCAGCCAGAGACATGCGTTGAACTTGTCAGCCATGAACTGGTTCCTACGGTGCCTGGCGATCTCCGAAATCTCTTGGTCGTTTCTTAGCAGAGTCAGATAGGATGCGAAGGCACGCGCGATGGTGAGCTGGGCTTGTGGCCATACTTCCCGAGCATGACGAAGCAGACGGGTAACGAACGCGAAACACGTAGTAGGGTCGATGAGGGGTTCTGTCTGTTGTGAATCGAGGCTGCCCTCGAGCTCCTGGGCAGTGCATTGTACGCGCATGAAGACGTCGAAACGCGGAATTTTTCGGCCAGTGATGATGTGCAGGGAATAAATTAGAAGCATGCGAAAAGTCTTCGCGTCGAGGCTTTGTCTGCGCAGGAGAAGTAGAGGAATGAACGGAGGTATAAGACGACGTTGGGAACCAGGTCTGGCTCCCTCAGCAGACTCAGCCATCAAAATTCGGAGAGCAGCCTCGTGAGAGGTGTTGCTCCTGAGAATCCATGACCAAAGCAACACATCGCTGGGGCTGCAATGCCGTGCCGTCAAATACTCGATGATCTTTGGCGGGAACGCCCGTCGCAATACGGCATCCAGCTCTTGCATCGCTTCGGTATCATCATGTGCTCTATGTACCCGGCCCAAGATAGGATCCACAAACCGTATCCAATCCGCAAGAATAGTCTGCAACGATAATCTCGGTTGTTTGCGAGGCGCTTCTCTCTGCCATTCCCCATAATCACTCACGATGAGATCCAAAGGCTGCGTCTGACCGCGTCCATCTCCGGTACTGCGTGCAGAAGTATGGAGAACATCGAGTAGATACTGCGTAGGGGTCACGATGGAGGATCGTGTTCCCTTCACTTTCGTGGCCTTTCGAGAAGACGTCGCTTTCTTTTCGGAGTATTCGGTCAAAGTTGCATCGTGCTCGTTTGGGTATACATTGACAATTGACGGTGAATTGTCCGATTCGCCAGAGCTTTCGTTACCTCCGGAGAGGTGCTTCGAGCCCGAGGGCGAAAACGATCGGCTCAATTGAGACTGATTTCGGATCCTGCACCAGAAGTTATGCCAACAATCTTCCTCGCCATTTGCATCAATCAGCCGCTCATTCTCTGGAGGAGCGGCAGTGCTGATATAACTGTATTCCCGGAAACCCCCGGCCGAACACAGGAAACCACTGCGATGCCATTTCGTCGGGTGTGTAGGAAGTGAAAAGCTTTTGGGGAAGCGGTTCTAATGCGATCAAAGAATGAAACGTTAGCAAAGCTTCCAATATAGTCATTGGTTTGCCTAGAAAAGAGTCCATCCTCTCGTACCTTTGGCCATGGACAATTGTTAATCAAATGCGCCGCTCTCAGAGAGGCCCCCGAGCGGCTCGGAACATGATTGAAGACCGATGACATCCATGAAGAGAATCATGAGGAGGCTGCTGAGGAGCCAGAAACGGAACCAAAGAAGCCTCCCGACACAAGTGGGAGCATCAATTAGAATTTGTTTGTAGGAAGTTGAGGAATAGTACTACAAGTAGTGCTCTACGATACTCTGGTACTCCGAAGGAAAATGCCTAATCACGTGAGCGGCTGTCACGTTTTTGGCGCGCATCGACCGGATCTCCCTCTTTACCTTAACTTAGTGAATCTCCCTCCCGCCTTTGCAGTCCGAGACCAAGCCGTCGTCGTTGTTTTCGTTTTCTAAATCCGATTATCTCTTCTTTTTACTTGTAGTCATCCACAATTTGAGGATACTCGTTGTCCTGTACCTGTGACTTTCGCCCCACCGCGGGATAGAGTCGCGAATTCCTCTGTACGAGTTGCGACCCTTATCCTTCGCTCGGCCCTGTAACGATTGGCGCATGCGCATCGGAGATCGAGCAAGCCTCAAAACACCGATATTCTTTCAGGAACTCGGGGTCTCAGTTCCGGTTTTCGTCTCAACATTCACTCCTACCTTCTGATCTCTTCGCGTCGCGGGGATTTATTCGCCCGAAAATCTCCTAGATCGACTCCTGGGACGAAGTCAATTTTCGTCCTCGCGTTCAAGGAGCCAAAAAAAACACTGCAACAACGGCGCACTTCCGGACTTGAAGCCATGAGCGCAGACGAAGGCGGGGAGACGCTTTCAATTCCCGCCACCAACGGCGAACCTCAATCCGCGACTCCAGATCCGCCTGTACTGTCGACGCCTGGAAAGCGAAAGCGTGGATCGAGCCATGATGTTCATGCTGCCCAGGATGCAGGTACTTCTGAGTTGCAGGTTCAGGAAAGGGTGAAGCTCCACGAAACGCTGTGTAATCTCGTGGATATCCTCAGCAAGTGCGTATCACCCCTGCCTTGTTGATCCCTCGTACTCGAGTTTAACTGACGTGTTCCAGGAATGATACCGAACTTCAGCTACTCTCTTGCCCTCTTCCGTCGTCACCTGCGAAGCCGCGTTCGAAACGCGCAAAAATATCAGGAGAGAAAGACGAAAGCACTAGCATACAAGCGAGGGTTGCGTCGGATCGTTACAATACGCTCTCTGAATTTCTGAGTGATATCGACAGAGCCTCCACAGCTGTAATCGAGCGGAGCAAAGCTCAAAGCAGTGAGGGCGAAGCCACCGACGGCAACCGCCTGACAGAGACGGTCAATCGGATTGCGGCATTCAAAAAACTTTTGAATAGTCTGGTGCGCCAGGCTTCTGTGGGCCAGGCCAGCGTCAAGAGGGAGAGCACGGAAGACGACTCAGAGGCTCCAGGAAAATCAACACCCTCTACCACTGAAGGTCGAAGCGATAATGTGGTTCTCACCATTCTTGGTAACCCATCCAATCCGAAACAGCTATATTCCAGCTTGCAAAAATCTGTTAAGGTTTCTCTGCCTTCTGGTGAATCAGTCGCAGAGAAGTACGTGGAAGTACAAACACCTTTGCGTGAGATTGGCTTGCCCAATGGTATCGCGACCACCAAAATTGCGGCTTACAACACAGAGAACAAGCCCAAAGAGTCCAAGCGAACCTTTGGCGACGTGTTCACACCTCGTCCAACACTGCCGCAATTAGAGTCGCCCCGCAGGGCCAGGTCGTCGTCTCGTACTGCTCCTGGAGGTTGGATTGACCCATTTGAAGCAGTCACAAACTACAAGGCCTTTCCTGGCGAGCGAAATAACTATTGCCTTGCGCCTCTTCCTTCGGGCCAATGGCTCCAGTACGGCGGAATCACCTCATCCCCTTCTTTCTGGGATCGACGACAAAAGCAACAATCCGCTCAGCCGCACGGAGACGAGAGATATTATGAGGATCCTGCTCTGTGGACAGATGACGACTCGTCTCTGTTGCAGGGCGTGTATTCTTCATTCGCACCTTCGTTTGACAGCTCAGGAGCCATTGTTCAAGCTGATTCAAAGGACATGGTATGGTGGGGAAAACGGGGAACGAAACGCTTGTACACCCTCCTTACCAAGACCTGCTCAGAGGAGCCTCAAGAAGCATCGGAAGTATCCGCGACAGAGCAACCTGGCAACATTGGTGAATTGGACGAAAGCACTTTGGAAGAGATGGTCAAGTCATTCAACCCTGAAGACTTTGCTGAGCATATCTCACTTACCAATACTTTGGAGAAAGAAAAGGAAGAAGCAGAATCGAAGGGAATGGATGACCTGTTACGCGATGTTTCTGAACTGCTGGAGACTCTGAGCTCATATCAGAAGATCCGCAACCTGGAACTACCAGCTCCAGGCGGTGAACCCAAAGAGACAGCAACAGACCAAGGCAACCCATCTCATGCGTCTGCAGCAGAACAGGGTATCTATGAGACACTCAAATCCAGCCTTGCCGCTCTCGTCTCAAACCTACCGCCATACGCCGTTGCCAAGTTGGACGGTGACCAACTAGCCGAATTAAATATCAGTACAAAGATTTTGGTCGATAATCCGGACTATCACGGCATAATGGAGAAGGATGACTTTACCCTGCAGCAGGAGCGGGCCGCGGCGATGGCTGCTGGGCAAAACCGAACATCTACACCCAGCCGCTCTGGAAGCTATCAGGCAGGTTACAACCAGCGGGCCTATACTGCTAACGCTCGGGTACAACAACCGCAAGCTGGTTTCCAGGCGCCCCAGCCGTATTACGGCGGAAGACAGCCTTCGACCTCAGGGCCTTATACCTCAGGCCCTCCACAACACTATGCTAATGTTCGCCCTCCGGCAACGCCTACTCAGCGGCCCGCATTTGTGCCAGGATACCAACAACCTACTCCGCAATATAATCAGGCCAATCTTCAGCAGTTCCAGCGTCCGGGCCAGAACGGCTACAGCCCCTATGCGGCACCGCAAGCTTTACCGCCTGCTCAAGCTTCTCCGCAGGCGTACGCGCCCAGGCCTGCACAGGCTGGAGCATACGCCCCGCAGTATGCTGCAGGGCGTAGTGGCTCGCCGCAGAAGCAGCCAGCATATGCCTCGCCTCGGACACGGGCACCATATATGGCGCCAGGCTCTGCAACCCCCCAGCAGCGGTATGTCCCGCCGCAGCAACCACCCAATTACAACTACCCTTCCAACCAAGCTGCCCCGGCGCCAAACACCTACTCCAACTCTGCCGCTGCAATGACTTATGCTCGGAGTGCTGCTGAGCAGGCTGCATTGATGGACCGGAACAAAGCACAATTAGCGCAACAAACCCGGCAGAGCTCAACACCTCAGCCTACTACGGATGCCAGCTCCCAAGACCGAAGTATAACGCCAGCAATCAAGCAAAATGGTACTCCTGTACCTTCGTGACGGTTTTCTCTTTTCTCATTTGCTAATATTCGTTCTCTTGAGGCGTGGTTACGGTGACACAGTGATGATTCGATTCGGATTGGGCATGCCTTACTGTACTTCTCACTTTCCTTCTCTTTCTTTTTGTTAGATTGGCGGCTGGGAAGTCAGACTCAAGACCGTTTTCATGTTGATTTCAACCATAACGTTATTATTATCACCTTTTTTCACCACTGAGTCAAATGTGTAACTGCTAAATGATTGCTGTTCTTCCCTGAGTGACTTCCTTCCGTCTTCTCTTCGTGATCTTCTTCTCTTTGTTACTTTTAATGCTTTACCCGCAACAACTGCTGCCGTTTGCCTATACTCTGGGATGGAGTTTCTTAGCGATCGGCGCGGAATGCTTTCAAAGAATGGTTTGGGTGGTTTTGTCCGGTCGGTAGGGAGTCGAACGTGGACATGTTCTCTAGTTTTACAGATTGCGGCTTTATCAATATGAATCCAATTCAAGCTCTTCTACTTTACTTTTGAGGATTGAATGGCACTGTCTTTCGTGAAGTGACTTGTCATTAACGTAGTATACATCATTCTATGAATACATGGTCACCAGTACTATCTCATAATGCCAGTTCGTCAATGGCTGTTCTGTCTCTTTCCGTATATGACCTAGAGGCTAATCCCGGAAGGACATTATCCAGGGGTAAGAGAAACGCGTCGAGTCGTTATACCGCAGCAGTTGACGGTGGTATCAAGGGATGAACATGGCGGCTATGGTCATGAAGCCAAAGTATCTGTGAACAGTGAATGAGTTTCTAGTGCTAGAAATTGCTATATTGAGATGGTAACCTCGAGCGAGGTAACCACGATTGATAAAGGATGTGCAAGGGCCAGATACGTACAATGTAGCAGATCTCCACCCATCGCGGGACTCCAGGTGCTCTGCACCGGACGAATAATTCATTGCTATCGCGGCAGCGGCGCCGCCGACAAGGGTCACCACTAGGAGACGACCTGAGAATTCGGAGATCATGCTGAAGGCTAGTAAGGGGAGGAGGATGGCGGCTGAGGCGATGATGATGGCGGAGTAGACGGAGGCTGTAGGAGATGCGCGGCGGGGCGACAAGGAGATCAGGTCTTTGCCGTGATCTAAGAACCGGGACTCGGCTGCTATGATGGGCGAATGGTCTTTCATCCAAGTGCGGTAGATCTCGATGTCCGTATCTGAGGCGTTGGGTATGGTTTGCAGGACTCGGCTATATGCTGCGAGGGCGTTGTCTAAGATAGCGCGTCAGCGAAAGACAGAGTAAGTTGCATACACTTGGAATCTTACTGTATTGCTCCGTCTTGTGAACCAGGGCTCCCATTACCTCTACCCGTCTGTAATGCAAGGACGAATAAACCTGAGCTTGAGCATCCATGCGTCTCGAAGCGGGCAGCTTCTTCGTTCCCTCTTGTTCGGCAGTGGCGACCCGATGCATCTCTTCGTACTCGTCGAGAATTCTCAGATCTTCCTCCATTTGCGCAATCTCATCCTGGAGGTAAAGGAGGACACGGTGGTTCAGATCTTCGAACCGGCGGTATAAAGGAGGAAGACAGGGTTCCTTGCTGTCGGAGGACGAACCTAGTCGGCTGGAGAGAAGCCCGTAACCAGAAGGTATGTGCGACGACTTGGTACCGCGCCGAAACTTCCTGCCGGTCCGATGAAGATCCTCCTTGGGGCTTCGTGGAGGAGATGGGGGAAGCGGAGGCCTATGCGACGTAGAGGAGTTTCGAGGGGGGTAGTAAGTTTCCGGCAAAGTAGTAAGACCCATGTTCAAGTTTCCAGTAGGATTTGAGCTGTCCATGAGTGCACCGGGAATGTTGTATATCTCTTCCAAGGAGAGCTTCCGGTCTGCTGTATTTCGTGGCAGGTTCAATGGCACTGTAGACGGTGATACATCAACCTGCGGTAGCTGCCGTGAGTTTGCCGATCTCTTGGACTTGAGTGACGATGCTTGACTACGGATGCTTGCTCGTCTTTGCGCCTGGCCCTGCGACAAAGTGTTGGTACGAGCATCGGTGTTGAGACCAGGGTATGTATGTATTGGGTAGGTATTGAGGACGTTCGAGGGCTGGCCGGAAGGCTCACTCACATTTTCTTCTGCATTGGACGATGAGCTACCATCATCTGAAGATTCATCGTCGTCGAGGTACTCAAACACGTTGGGAGCCTTCTTGTCTGGACCGGTCGAGTTGCGCGTAGAATTCAGAGCCCCCTGTGTCTTCTGAGCGTAATTCCGACTTGGTTCGTCGTCTTTCTGTGCACCAGACTGTACCTGGGCATGTTCTTTCATTGCCTTTTTCTCTACGGAAGACTTGGAACCTTTAGAAGTGGTCCGAGACGTCATAGAGAGGACAGAACCTGCCGACGATCTATTTGACTTCTTGGAGCGACTGGAACTGGAATACAATGGCATTTTGACCGGTTTATCGTGTTTGTGTGAATAGTTCGATTCGGAACTTTCAAGGAAGTCGCGAAGATGCGGTTTTCAAGACATTCCCGGGGTAGAGAAGAGAGGCCAAGACATCAAAACAATGAGAACAGAAAGCAAAGGGCTGTGATCGATAAAGGAGACAGCACTCGAGGCATATCAAGGGAGACGACGACCGTTTTGAATGTCCTGGAATGGTCTATGGCCAGACGAACACGAAGAATGTAGCACAGAATGTGGGGTATTTCTGTCTTTGAACGGCAATAGAGTTGAGTTTATCAAGTTGGAGACTGTCGCTGATAAGGATCGATGCATATGCACAGGTACATCAGGAAAATAATGGCTTTGTGACTGACAAGGAGCCGTGCTGGGGTGGTCAGCAGTCCTCAGGATCAAAGGTAGTTCGGGCTACTTGAGAAGAGCTCGGCCCCGGGAATTGATGATCAAGATGAAACGGTAACTGATGGCGCAGTCGTCAATTTTGACTCTTGAGATGTTAGTTGGAATAGAGTTGGCCCTATATTCAATGGTCATTCGACAGACAGAAGCGCTTCGCCCTGTCGCAACCTGTCGCACCTTCGCGACGCCGAGGGTGGATGAGTCCAATTCGTCCCAGGGGATCCCAGCAAGCGCCAAAGGCTGACGAAAAAAGTGATGTCTGATCGCAAGATAGGAAGAGTATCTTCAAGCAGTGTGCCACAAATTATTCGGTCTTCTCTTATTTTTGCTTTTTTTCCTTTTCTCCTCGGTTATCTCACTGCAGTTCCGGTTATTGCAAGACGATGTGGGCCTCTCTCAGACTCTGACAAGGGTGAAACCATGATAGATACTGTCCTGCATTACTCTGGATGAATTCTGATCTATTGGAAGAAAGAAAGAACGAGGAGTGGTGCGTTGGCTGGCGGTGACTCGCTGCGGACGATGCCCATGCCTTGCAGCCAGACGAGGTGGGGACTTGGAATGCGCAGGACTTTCCCTGCGATTCTGTGGGAGCTCAGGAGCTGATGATCTCGTCTTGCTTGACTTCTGGACCAGTGAGAGAGACTGACGGAGATGATCTGTGAGAGGTCAACATCATCAGATCAGCAGACTTTGGGCATGAAACCATCGTGGGACACATCGGGAACCACTACGATTCGTTGTTTACAGCCCGATAACCTTAGGTTGTGTTGATGACCATCGCCAGCAGGTTGTGGAGGGCAGCACAGATTTTAGATGGATGACTTGCATACGGAGTATTCACATTCACCTAAATCAAGATCACATTCAGACATTGATCCCGGATCCTATTTCTATTATTGTTTCTTATCAACTCCTAGCTATGCTATGTATCCATGAGACTAAAATGCTCTAAAATGATCGACAACACAAGCGGTGAACCGTAACTTACCAATGTTTCGGATTTTTATGCTGCGGTGGTCTGCTATACGTTGTAATCTCATTACTGTATGACGCGCAAATTCCGCTTCAACATCGACAACATTTTGTCCATCCATACAATTCGCAGCTATTCCTCAAGACTAGTGCTCGAGATCGATTGCTGCTCGAATCAACCAACAAGTCAGCACCTCTAACCTTTACAAATCACATACTACATCGCTCCCGCCCCCACACATGCTCCAACAATGGCTTCGCCAAAGCCCCGGAGCTGCCCGCTTTCTTAGAGGCTCATGTTGTCGCGGCCCCCAGTCTGGCTCCCTCTGGCATAGCCCTCTACCAACCGCATCTCATCGTTGCATTAGACCGCTACAGACATCAGCTACAGAATCCAAGGAGCGCATACCACTACGGAAGCAGCTGAAACAAGACGCAAAGGCTCTGAGAGCTCAGAAGAGACAGAGGAGGGAAAGCGAGGAAGCGTCCCGGCAAAAGTGGGAGCTGACTGTTGGCATTGAGATTCATGCCCAGTTGAACACTGAAACCAAGCTATTTTCAAGTTCGTCGAGTCTATGTTCCTATCCTTCCTGGCCCAAAACGCACAATCTGATCTGTGTTGAGCAGGAGCCTCCACGTCGAACACCGACACCCCCAACTCAAATGTCGCTCTCTTTGACTTGGCGTTTCCGGGCAGTCAGCCAGTTCGTATTTGGCAATATGCATTACTGGAAGCTGCTAATATGTATAGGAATTCCAAGCGACGACTTTGTTACCCGCCCTGCGCGCCGCGATTGCCTTGAACTGCGACATTCAGCCGGTCAGTCGGTTCGATCGAAAACACTACTTCTATCAAGATCAACCTGCGGGGTATCAGATTACACAGTACTACGGTAGCCTCCCTTCCTTCTCGGTCGACGGCGATTACAATCTGACATTGAGATAGAACCGTTTGCGAAAAACGGCTACGTGGATCTCTTTCAACATGACGGCATTGCACCTGAAGACGGCGACCATGTTCGCATCGGCATCAAACAGATCCAGCTCGAACAAGACACCGCCAAGTCTCAGGAGTATCCTCCCTCCACCCAACTTCTCGACTTCAACCGAGTATCCCATCCCCTCATTGAGATAATCACCATGCCGCAGATCCACACCCCTGCCACTGCCGCAGCATGTGTTCGGAAGATTCAGGCCATCCTACAATCCTGCAGTGCCGTGACCACCGGTATGGAACTAGGAGGCCTGCGAGCGGACGTGAACGTCTCAATCCGTCGCCGGGACGAGGCTCCCGGCACCCATCAGTACGGGGGCATCGGTGGACTGGGTCAGCGCACCGAGATTAAGAACCTCAGCAGCTTCAAAGCGGTCGAAGACGCCGTCATAGCGGAGAAGAACCGTCAGATCGCTGTCCTCGAAAGCGGAGGCGTCATAGAAGGCGAGACGCGAGGCTGGACTATTGGAAGCACCGAGACTCGGAAACTCCGAGGTAAGGAAGGCGAAGTGGACTATCGGTATATGCCGGACCCGGATCTCCCTCCGCTGATCATCGGCCACGACCTCGTCTCCGGTCTGAGAGACTCGCTTCCGACGCCTCCGGACCAGTTGATCGAGATGCTGGCAGGCCCAGAGTATGGACTCTCGATCGAGGATGCAAAGCCATTGATTGAGCTGGACGACGGAGCGAGGTTGGAATACTACCAGGATGTGGTCGACATCCTGCGCGACCTGCAGCAGGACCAAGATCCCAAGTCTCGTGCGGGTCTTGCGCGAGTGGCTGGCAACTGGGTGCTGCACGAGCTGGGAGGCCTCTGGGCCAAGGCGGACTTGGCTTGGGATGCGCAACGAGTACCCGCTGAGACCCTTGCGCAAATCATCGATCAGCTGCAGCGAAAACGCATCACGGGGGCCACCGCCAAACAGGTGCTTGTCATGGTCTTCGATGGGGATCGTCGACCTGTTTCTCAGCTCCTTGAAGAAGAGAATCTACTCCTTCGTCCGCTGTCCCGGGAGGAGTACATTGCTCTGGCGGAGGCAGCCATCAGTCAGAACCCGCAGATGGTTGAACAGATCCGGTCCAAAAACCAGCTGGGTAAGCTAGGCTGGTTTGTCGGACAGATGATGCGCATGGGAGAGAAAGGCCGGGTAGAAGCTCAGAAAGCGGATGAGATTCTGCGAGAGCTTATCCTCAGAAAGTCAGATCAGCCGTAGCAGCCCATTCACAATCTGTAATTATATAGCATGTATTCTAGAAATGATACCCCTTGCCATCAGATACCGTCAGCCTTCCATGATAGGACGGACAGGGTTCTATTGATTACTCGAACCGGAAATCTTGCGGACTAACAACCGTCATCCTCCGGCCGTCGGACCAATATAACAACGCAGCATTTCCATATGACTACGGACCAAATATGATCATCGCGGGAGTTGTATTAAGATAAAGAAGCATAAATCCAAACCATTGGTCATAGAAATATGAGGGTGGAGTGGGTTGAAGCCCCCAAGCGGGCGTCTCTCCTGCACCTGTACTTAGGGGAAATCCATGATCCCTAAAAGCAGTTTTTAGCGATCACCGTCGTGTACCACTTTTCGCCCTGTTTTGTCACGACTGCAAGGCCCCACGGCTGTCATCGGAGGAATGAGACATAAATTGACTTGATCCTCTCATTTCGAGGGCCACATTTCAATCCCCTTTTCCATCTTCCAAAGTGTTGCAGCTTGAACTCGGAGTATCGAAGTGACTTGCGGCCTGAGGCATCTCGGATCTGATCTCCACCGCGCGCAATCCTTATCTTATCGCTTTAGTTCCTTTTTTTTCCGTTATCAATTCTTGATCTATTGCTCTGATCTCAAGTCTTTATACAAATTAAATCCTCTTCACTCACTCTCAAAATGACAGCGCCATCGACTATCAAGCAAAGATTCCTGTCCAAGCCAAATGAGCTGGGCGTGGTCGCTGTCGGATTTAACGGTGGTCAGGTATGACGCTTACCTGCATATAACATTGTCGCAAAATCCCTCAACGGAGGAAGAAATTGAGCGACGAATTCAACTAACATTATCTGTATAGTGCAAACTAGGCGTTGAAGCAGCTCCGCTTGCCTTGATTGAAGCCGGTCTTTTGAATCAAGTGCGCGACGACCTGGGCTACCAACTTCACTATGACGACACCGTGCACTACTACGAGACCCTGACCCCCATGAGCGACCCCGACCACCGGGGCATGAAGAAGCCGCGCGCCGTGAGCGTCGTGACTGAGACGCTCAGCAAGCAGGTCTACGACTACGCCAAGGACGGCAAGTTCGTCCTCACGCTAGGCGGCGACCACTCGATCGCTATCGGCACCATCTCCGGCACGGCCAAGGCCATCCGTGAGCGTCTGGGGCGCGAGATGGCGGTCATCTGGGTCGATGCGCATGCCGATATCAACACGCCGGAGATGAGCCCCAGCGGGAACATCCACGGCATGCCCATGGCCTTTTTGACGCGGCTGACCCGGGAGGACAAGAAGGATATCTTCGGGTGGCTGGAGGATGAGCACATCATCAACAAGAACAAGCTGGTGTACATCGGTCTGCGGGATGTAGACCGCGGCGAGAAGCAGCTGCTCCGGGAGCATGGTATCAAGGCATTCAGCATGCATGACATTGACAGGTGAGCATTTTCTTTCTTCCTCGTTCGAGTGAGGGCCATCTTGGGAAGTGTCTCTGACTGTAGTAGACATGGAATCGGCCGCGTGGTCGAAATGGCGCTGGCTCATATCGGCAACGACACCCCCATCCATCTCTCGTTCGACGTTGATGCCTTGGACCCCCAATGGGCCCCTAGCACAGGCACTCCCGTCCGTGGAGGTCTGACTCTGCGTGAGGGTGACTTTATCTGCGAATGTGTTCACGAGACTGGAAACTTGGTCGCCATGGATCTGGTAGAGGTCAACCCCAGCCTGGAGGAGGTCGGTGCTTCAGAGACCATCCGAGCCGGTTGCTCTTTGGTGCGTTGCGCACTGGGCGACACACTCCTGTGATAGAATTTCTTCTGTTTCCACTTTCTCTCTGTCTTCTTTCTTTTCCACTTTCGCAGGTTGATGGTTATATGAACGGGCTAGACGAGTATATGTACTTGTTAGAATAGACACGACTGACCGCCGCCAGGCTAGACAATGAATTGATGAAATGCAGTCAACTGAGGAGAGTAGACAGCTAATCAAAGATTTAGCTACACTTACTTTCCAGTGAAGTGCGAAGGATATATAACTCGATGTTGGATGTCCGTATCGTACCTGTTGATCATGCCGGCTCCCGAGCCAATGGCACTGCGTTGCACTACTTCCAGCCACCGCTATTTACTTCCAGATTTCCCTTACCCACGCAGTACGGAGTAGATCGTTTCCTGCCACCCATTTCAACAAGTTTTGCTCTTCTCTTCTATCACTAGCATCAGAACCATGAACAGTCAATTGACCAAAGAGCAACTTTCGGACGGAGTATCAACTGATTTCTCGTTGTTTCAGCTATTGCCCATGCATCAACTACCAGCTTACATAACGTCCTGAACAACGCATCAACAAAGCAACCAACTAACCCAACAAGCTCCCATACCAGAGGTCCTTACTCCGTCCTCAAGCCCGATCATCCACGAGCGGGCCTCAACGTGGGATTGCGGCGCCGATGCGCTGTCTCCGTCCATCTCTCAGTGTGTCGTCCGATCTGTCGCCCGTCGCCAGTTGACACCCAACTATTTCCTTTCCTTCATACGGAGTCCGTCCCTCACAGAGACGACGGGGTATTAAATCGTCGAAGACAACTCCTACCGAGTGTATCGCAAACCGAGAATAGACTCTATCCCTCCATGCATCATCCCTAGGCCCTATCCTATCCTCGAATACCTACCCACCAACAATGGCCGCCCGCGTCGCCCGCCGCCGCCGATACCGCTGGCCCGAACTCCAACTCAACATCTGGATCATCATCGTGCTCTCCGCCTCCGCAATCTGCCTGGGCATCTTCGCCTGGCTTATGGCCGTGCAGTCGCAGCTTCGCTTGGGGACTCCATGGTACCCTCCTCCCTTCGCTCCTTTCCCTATCCACCTACCCACCCTGTGGCAGGACTAACGAGAAATACTGTCTATACACAGGCTCTTCCCCTACATGGTCGTAAGCGGCAGCCTCGGCGTCTTCTTCATCTTCCTGGTTCTCTTCCTCGCGGCGCAGCGCTTCCTCCTCCCCGGGATCATCATCATCGGGAGCTTTATCCTGTTTGTGCTGTGGCTGACGGGGCTGATCGAGACCTCGCTGCAGCTGTATGGGGTTGTGGGGAACGTGAACGACAACTGTCAGAATTACGTCGTGGACAATCCTTCCACGGGGAATAATATCAATACGTTGGCGTGGTTGACGCAGAGTACCATTTGTATGTCCCTGTCCCTGTATTGGAAAACTGGGGTGCTGATGACTGACGGCCATCCCTAGGTAATTGCTGGAAGACCGCGTTTGCGTTTGAGCTGGTCAATACCATCTTCTTTCTCTGGATGATGATTATGTCCTGGCAGGTTAATCGCGATGTATATGATTGATGGGAACGTTGTGATGCTATATGATTCGTATGTTATGTGATATACCTACTGGCACTGCATGATGCATGGAAGGCGTTCTTATTTTCGGTTCTTTTTGACTCTGCATTTTGCGTCTCCCTATGTTCATGTCATTCTGTTGTATCCTTATATGGCAACACTAGCTATCGTCCAATATACCTATGCAACTCTCAACACCGGCTCAATTTTGGCCCAGACTCAAACATGAAGCAGCCCAAACGCCGTCGCTATGCCCTGTCGCATCGCAACCGCACATAAAATCAACTTAGACAAGCATCGAAGAGAATTGCCGTAATATACAGACAAAATCCGCGCGTGTGGATCGGTGAACTGGATTCATTCTACCCATTCTCAGCTGCAATCTCTTCCTCAGCCTTGGGATCGTAGCCCCCATCCTCCAATGCAGCCAACATTTCCCGCTCCAGTTCATCGTCTTCGTCCACCGGATCTTCGGGATAACTGACATCCTGCCCTCGCGCCGCGGGCTCCTCTGGCTCGTTCAACGCTTCGTCCGTATCTCCTCCACTGCGTTCCTTTGGCAAGCTAGTGTGGGTTAATTCCGCCGCGCTCGTGGTATCTGCCGTTGCAACCTCTTTAAGCCCTGTAGTACGCTCATAAGACCGTTTGATCCGCTGCGACAGGCGCGAGCCCGCCATTTCTCCCTCTTCACCTTGACTACCGTCCGACTCGTCTTCATCTGTGCCTTGAGACTCGTCGTCGCGCTTGCGCTTCTTGCCAGTCGCTAGGAGCGATGCTTCGCTGTCACTTTCGCTCTCGTCATCGCTGCCCAGAAAGTCCTTAAGCTCGTCGTGCACTGCAGCCTGCTCCTCAGCGTCATACCCGATAGGGGACATCTCGTTGAGCCCGGAGGACTTCAGAATCTCTTCATTGAATTGCGACCCCTCATCGTCATCCGTCCAGAATCCGCCAGTTTCTTCGTCTGATGATGACAGCCAGCCGCTTTCAAGCTCCTTTGACCCAGGCGAAATTGGCTCACCCCGATCATCCGGATGCACAGGAAGCAGGTACGGTTCCTCCTCCAGTCGTTTCCATTGAGTCAGCGAATCCAAAAGCCACTGAGTGGTCACAATCTTGATGTTCGGATACCGCGTGGCCTCGCGGACCTTTGCCGTGCGATTCCGGCCAGCCACTAGATGCGTGGTTCTCATATTAATCTTGGTGGAAATGACTGCCCCGAAACTCTTAGCCCACAGAGAAATGTCGGCGTTTTGTGTATCGGTTCCCAGCGGGAGTACCCCCGAGAAAACAAGCACGACACCGCCAAGCACGCGGTGCTTGAGGCGTGGCATGATGTCCTTCACATCCGGCACCAACTTCAGGTCGATATCTTTCTCCTTGGACGTTCCCCGCTCTCCTCTCAGGGCTGCCACTCTTCCACCGAGGGCCCGCGACCGCTTCTTATCATACTCCTCGAAGAAATGCCTATGTATCTGGTCCAGTCGTTCCTCCAGGAGGAAGAGTTCCCGATCGTTATCCTCCAATAAATGATGTCGGTGTTTGGTCGAATCTTGAGTGTCTTCTATGCTCGAAGCAGAATCACCGCTTTCTACCGCCTCATCCTCCGCATCCAGCTCTTTCTGCTTCTGCAACAATGGGCGGTCCTCGACCTGGTGCATGATTGTTTCTTCTTGCGCGACGCTCTGCTCTCGGAGTAACCTTGGATTGTCCCCACCGCCCATGGTCACTAGTTGCTCCAGCGTCGAAATCTCAGCTGCAGGCTTGGCGATTGCACCTTTCGGGGGAGGTTGTTGCATCGGTAGCTCCTTCGTTCCTTTGGCTTCCTGTTCCGTAGGCTTGATGGCTCCCCCTAACTCCTGCTTCTTCGGAAGGAAACTGGAGTTGATATCTCCAATTCCAACAAAAAAGTCGTAGGGAGAAACCTTGATCAGATTAGGGCTCCATCGCCAGACGTCTCCACGGTCGTCGATGATGACCACCATCTTTGTATCTACCGGGAATAATCGCTGGAGATTCTTAGCCGTCAGGCTCCCGCTTTCGTCGCGGCTGAGGATGCGATCACCAAAGAGCTTACGGTCCGGATCTATAATGCCAGCTATATGTTGCGCGTAGGCTCTAGTACCCATGGTGTAAATGTGCAACTCGAAAAGCTCTGAGACATTCTGCAAGAACGACTCGAGCCCAGGTCGCAGCTTGACGTAGTACCAGCAACCGCGCATGCCCGGGCCATCATCAACTAATTGGAAAGCTCGCACGTCACTCAGGGCTTCGTGATTAGGATTGTCCTTGTCTTCCATCCATTCTCCGACAGTAGGGTCAACTGTGGCATGGATAATAGTCTGATCCAAATCAACGACGAGAGAGAGCTTCCTATTCGCCAACAAGCGACGCTTCGCATCCTCCTCCACACGCGTGGCTTCTTTTTCGCTTACGGTAAGGGCAGTATTATCATGAACCATCTGAATCGGCGCGCGTGTAGAGTCCATGACCTCAGTATTATATGTCGCCCTGTCGTGATGAAGAACAAAATCGTCAGTTCCCGTTATCTCGGCAGTATCCTAGACACAAGTAAGCACAGTGTCACTCACTCGGTCATATCCTTTCCACACTCGGCGCAAAGGCCTCCAAATTGAACCTCGTGGGCGCATGGTTCGTCAATCTCCACGACGTCAACACTACGGTGGATATCAGCACCATGTCCAGAAGACACGCGTTCTCTTCCCAGATAGAGGATTCCAAGTACTTACGGTACTTCAATAACATCCCCCTTGGCTATTTTCCACTGAACCACTTCACCATCAACGGTCGACTCGAACTTCGTGGGAAATTTGCGCTGAACCTCGACCTTGTTGCCCAGCCCATCACCCTCGGTAACAGTTGTCTGGTAAACATACCAGAACAAGGCCTCGTCCCTCTCAACCGTGTCGCCTGGCTGTTTGAGCAGCGACGTGACGGTGATCGGGTAATGGAGGCTGGGCGGTAATCGAAGAAGCATGCTCTTGTATCGGGCAGGCGAGGTTGCCTCTCGCTAGTCTCTTATCCAACCCCGGTAAACCCTTACCTTCTATAATATAGCTATTATGAGAAGGAAGGATGATTCCCAGGGCGATTCCGATCGCGAGCGAAACAGGTATGCCTGACCGCTACGGATCCATACCCGAAGCGCCCAGCAAAAGAGAGGAAATTCAGACGACGGAATGCGTACACAAGAGGTGACAGTAGAGAATTTTGTTTACAAGACGTATGTCGCAGGATGCGACGCAAAAAAACTCCACCTCACGGACGTAGAGGACGGGAAGCAATGTAGCTCAGGCGATTGCCACGAGATGACGCGACCCAAAAGCAATACAGAAACAGGCTTTGTCCCAAATTCGGACTTGGAATTGACGGCGTAGAAAACGTGAGACTTATATTCAATGTGATGAAGCTTGTTTCATGTCAAATTGGGGCTAAAA